GTTCCTCACTCACAGCTCCCAAAATTTTTCAGGAAAGTAGTCAAGGTGGGACTGGAGGAAATGCACTTTCAAACTCATCAAGCAACCTAAAGCTTGAAATGCTTTCAGCATTTGTCTGACAATCTTTTTTTTGTAGTGAGGATCTTTGGTATTGCCTAAAAATTTCTCAATGTACGACTTCTTTAAATGCAATCCAGTTACCCTTCTTTGTGAGGATCCGTCATGGTATTGACAAACTCTTGATCAACTCTAAGCCTTCTAATGTCTGGTCCGACAACACACCTTCCTTCAATTTTACCCGACAGGCCTGGAAAGTTGGTGACCATTTGAATTTGAAGCATTCTCCGTCTCTTGGAAGTGATTTTACAAATTGCTTCATCAAACCCAATTTTATGTGGAGAGGTGGTAGAAGAACTTTATGGGAAGGTACCAAAGTTACCCTCGGCTGTCACCTCTTCTTTCTTGGTCCAGTGATTTTGTCTGTCTCGACTGTCCCATAGACACAGAAAACAAGGGTATTTGGTATCCCACCCACTGGATTCTTCAGGAAAGATTGACCCCTTCTACCATTAGAAGCACAGACTCAGGGCTGAGGCTTACCCTCAGTAGTCAGACATGTCACTCAGTTAGCTGCAGCATGTATTCACTCTCCTTTGCAGGGAGGGAGGGGCCCTTAGATTGTTTACCTGCAAATAACAACAAAATCCAGAAGAGAACTAGGGAAATGATCCTAAATATAATTTGTTTTCCCTAAAACTTGCTTAGCTTATGTATATATTGCTGACCATCAGATTTACAGTGCTATATTTTTTTTTACGTAATTCGGACAACCCCTTTAATGTTTTTTTTGGGCATTTTATATACTTAAATGCACTTATGTGAATTAATTAATACCTAATTTGGACTTTAAAATGGTCAAAAACACAATATAAAAAAAAAAAAAAGCAAAGTCTGCTTTTGTAATGCAATTTTTTAGCATTCCCAAGACAATTTGAAGACAATTTTCATTTTGTGGCAAATCATGACGTCTAGTTGTTTTTTCAATATTTTATTTGTTTTTTCCACACCAAAATAACATGGTGAAAACCCTGATCATTCTGCAGGAAATATTACACAGCAGCAGCGTTCACCCTGTACAGGGAGACCTGAGTTATAAGTAAGACACACAACAAGTAAAGCCCAACTTCAGCTAACGCTTCTACAGCAGTTACAGCAACAGGTTCTCTATAAGGTCCAACCCCCCATATGAATGACAACTGACAGTTGTGAGCACCCCCAGCAGTGTTATAGGATTTGCCCCAACCCCCAACTCCAACTGCCATTTTTTTTTCCAAAAGACTTGGCCTTCTACAGGAAGTAGACAAAAAAAAATCTATCTACTGGGAGGGACAACAAAAAAAAAAACAATAGGAGACTCGGAAAAACAAAAAAACCTGCTCTGCTAATGACAGATTTCATTATTAATGTCATTATTGATTTTGCCCATAGTTACACTTTGGTGCCAACGTTGTAATATTTCCAGGGAGAAGAAGTTTTCTTTACAAACTTTCCACCAAAAAGAGATGTGTGCACTCAGAGTGATTATTGTGAACCCCAATCAGAGGAATGTCAGTCCCCCGGAAGAAGTGGTAGGAATATGACCGCACACTCAGCACTTTGTAAGTTCAGATCTCTGGCAGTTGTATTGTGTGATTAGTCTATGGAGAGGAGTAATAGCTGGAAAGAGAAAACATGGAACAAGGATTTCTGATCTTCACCTGATGGAATCCCATTTGGCAGAACCACATGGAACACAAGTGGCCAGCTGGGCTTACGTTTTACTGCTGAATACATCCCCTAAATCAGCAGTAACTCAGTATTGGAAGGCCTGCATCAGCTTGGGATGTTGTTTTCTCACTGAACAGAGACTTCTTTCTAGCTGGTGTCACAGCCACAGACCTGCCTGAAAGGTTGTCACCCATGAGATGATATCCTACAACCTCACAAACACCCCCTTTCCTCTCTATGATCACAATCTCATCACCTTCACATCTTCACCTTTCAACTCCCTTCTCCCTTCCACTCTGCAACTGACTTCATCCACACTAGACTCATTTGTTCCTCACTAACATGAAGCAACAGGCATGACCTGGCCACTGCTGTCTACAACAGTTCACTTTCATCCACATTAGACTCACTTGCTCCTCTAACATGAAGCATCAGGCCCCCGACCATTACAACCTTGGCAGACTGACAACACCAGAGATCTTAAACGACATAGTCGTGTGCTGGAGCGAATGTGGCGTAAAACCAAATCTCACCAAGCATTCACCCGATATAAATCTGCTTTCTTAACATACAATTCCTCCCTCCATGCTACCAGACAAGCCTACTTTGTCACTCTCATCAATACCTTGTCATCCAGTCCTCGTCGTCTCTCTCTACTTCTAACTCTCAACTTTCTCCACCTCCACCCAGTACCTCACTCACTGCTCACGAGATTGCAAATCACAAATCAAAAACAAGATTCATGTAATTCGTAGGGGCATCTCCACTGCACAGACATCCATCCCACTTAGCATACCTTATACTAAACTAAACTCCCTCAACACTTTCCTCTTTTTTGACCTTGCTACTACCAAAGAGGTCAAAGGTTTTTTCTCAGAAGCCCGTCTCACTACCTGCCCCCTGGATTCCCCTCACAAACTACTATCCCCTCACAACTACTACAGTCACCTTCTTCTTCCATCCTATGCTCCCTCACTCACATCTTCAATCTTTCCCTCTCTACTGGTGCCTTCCCCCCCTCTAAAGCAAGCATGCGCACATCACTCCCATACTTAAAAAGCCCTCCCTGGACCCCACCAACCTGAACAACTTAAGACCCATCTCCCTGCTGCCATTTACCTCTAAACTATTAGAACTCTTAGTCTACACATCGCCTGAGCTCCCATCTCACTGACAACAACCTTCTCGACCCTTTACAGTCTGGCATTCCCTCACTACACTCCACTGAAACTACCCTACTAAAACTCACTAATGATCTACTAACTGCTAAAACCAATGGCCACTACTCCATACTCATCCCAAATGTCAATGGCCACTACTCCATACTCCCAACCAATGGCCACTACTCCATACTCATCCCAACCAACTGGCCACTGGCCACTACTCCATACTCATCCCAACCAATGGCCACTACTCCATATACTCATCCCAACCAATGGCCACTACTCCATACTCATCCCAACCAATGGCCACTGGCCACCTCCATACTCATCCCCAACCAATGGCCACTACTCCGTACTCATCCCAACCAATGGCCACTACTACTCCCCAAAAATGGCCACTACTCCACTCATCATCCAACCAATGGCCACTACTGCATACTCATCCCTCCAATGGCCACTACTCCGTACTCATCCCAACCAATGGCCACTACTCCGTACTCATCCCAACCAACTGCAGAAACCTCACAACTTTCACACTACCCTTCCCTTCCCTTTCCACTCTGCAACTGACCAACTCTATGACAGAATCTCTCCCCTGTCCTGCCCTGACCTGGCCACTGCTGTCTACAACAGTTCACTTTCATCCACATTAGACTCACTTGCTCCTCTAACACGAAGCATCAGGCCCCCCGACCATTACAACCTTTGGCAGACTGACAACACCAGAGATCTTAAACGACATAGTCGTGCGCTGGAGCGAATGTGGTGTAAAACCAAATCTCACCAAGCATTCACCCGATATAAATCTGCTTTCTTAACATACAATTCCTCCCCCATGCTGCCATGCTGCAGACAAGCCTACTTTGTCACTCTCATCAATCAGCTTGTCATCCAGTCCTCGTCGTCTCTTCTCTACTTCTAACTCTCAACTTTCTCCACCTCCACCCAGTACCTCACTCACTGCTCACGACTGATTAAGATTGCAAAATCATTTAAAAAACAAGATTGATGCAATTCGTAGGGGCATTGCCACTGCACAGACATCCATACTGTGTTGCCTTCACAGGCTAATTGAATTAAAGTTACTTATATGGGACATGTAGTGTACCACTCTGCCATCTAGTGGCAAACATGTATGGCAGTTCTCCTCTGGATATGTAAGCTCTCAGACAGGAAGTGACTCTTGGTTTATGAAGTTCGTCAGCCATTTTAGACTTCTATTAACTGTGGATGCAGTGTGCTTGCTTCTCTCTCTCAAGGGGCTTGAGACATCATCACCTCTGTCTAAGTGCCTTTCTGCTGTGTCATCTGTCATTTATGTTACACTAGTTACTCTATCAATACTGATATGATATGTCATCTCATTGTTCTCAGTTTCACCTATAAAATAAAGTTGGATTCTTTGGTAGACAACACAAGCAGTGGGCTTCTGTTTGCTGGAGATTCTGACAAGGGTTTAGCTGTCCATTTAGAGCCACACATTGTCAGTGTTTTGAGAACGGAACACATACCACTTAGCATAACTTATACTAAACCTCCCTCCACACTTTCCTCTTCTGACCTTCTGACTTCCTACTACCGAAGAGGTCACTAAGGTTTCTCAGAAGCCTGTCTCACTACCTGCCCCCTGGATCCTGTCCCCTCACAACTACTACGGTCACCCTCTTCTTCCCATTCTATGCTCCCTCACTCACATCTCTCAATCTCTCCCTCTCTACTGGGCCCTTCCCCTCCCCTCTAAAGCATGCGCACATCACTCCCATACTCACTCCCAAAAAAGCTCTCGCTGGACACCACCAACCTGAACAACTTAAGACCCATCTCCCTGCTCTTGTTTACTTTTAAACTCTTAGAACGCTTAGTCTACAATCACCTGAGCTCCTAGCTCCTACTCACCAACAAAAACCTTCTTGACCCTTTACAGTCTGGCTTTTGCTCACTACACTCCACTGAAACTGCCCTACTAAAACCCACTAATAATATAACTGCTAAAACCAATGGCCACTACTCTGTACTCATAAACCAATGGCCACTACTCCAATACTAACTATCCCAACCAATGGCCACTACTCCATACTCATCCCAACCAATGGCCACTACTCCGTACTCATCCCAACCAATGGCCACTACTCCATACTCCCAACCAATGGCCACTACTCCGTACTACCCAATGGCCACTACTCCATACTCATCCCAACCAATGGCCACTACTCCGTACTCCCCAACCAATGGCCACTACTCCATACTCCCAACCTGGCCACTACTGACATCTCATCCCAACCACTGGCCATATCACTTGACCAACCAATGGCCACTACTCCTACCATCAAAAATGGCCACTCCACTCTTACTACTTGACCTCTCTGCAGCTTTTGATATGGTTGACCATCCAAGACTCTGCTCAAAAAAACTCCACTCTCAGTTCTCCAAGACTCTGCTCTCTCCTGGCTTGTCTCCTATCCTATTGCAGAGCTTGTTCATCGTTAACTATAACTCTGCCTCTCCTCTCCCTCTTTCCATAGGGGTACCTCAAGGGTTCAAGGTTTCTTGGACCCCTACTCTTCTACATCTACACCTCCTCCCCTTGTCACTGCTCCCATGGTTTTAAGTACCATCTCTATGCTGATGACACACACATCTATCTTTCTACTCCCCTTCAGTCTCCTCACCTCTCAGTCCTCCTCACCTCTTCAGTCTCCTCGCATTACTAACTTACTAAGCGACATATCGGAATGGATGTCCCTCCACTTCCTCAAACTCAATCTTTCCAAAACTGAGCTCTTAGTATTCCCCCCAGCCTGTGCCCCCTCCCCGACTTCTCCATCAAGATCAATAACACAATCATCAGTCCCTCCCCTCATGCCAGGGTACTAGGTGTAATCCTAGACTCCCATCTGTCCTTTCAGTCCCAAATCCAATCACTGTCCAAATCTTGTAGACTTCACCTCCACAATATCTCCAAGATACGGCCGTTCTTAACCTCGGAAACCACTAAGGAACTTATTTAAACCTGAACTCCCTTGTTATATCCCTCCCTTTGACTATTGTAACTCCCTCCTCATTGGCCGACCCTCATCCAGGCTATCATCAGGCTATCCCCTCTCAGTCTATCATGAACGCTGCTGCCAGACTCATCCACCTTACTAACTACTCTGTATCTCCACCCCCTCTCCAATCCCTCTCACTGCCTCCACTCAGTGTCCTCCACCCCCCTCTCCAATCCCTCCACTGGCCTCCCACCCTCAGTGTCCTCCACCCCCCTCTGCCAATCCCTCCACTGCCTTCCCATTGCCCAACGGATCCCTCCACTGGAATTCAAAATAAAATTAAAAAAACAATAACATAAAAGCCATTTATAACTCTGCCCCAAATTACATCACCGATCTTGTCTCCAAATATCACCCAAAACCGTACTCTCTCGCTCCTCTCACAACCTCCTGCTCTCTAGCTCCCTTGTCTCCTCTCCCATGCTCATCTCTCAGAGCTTCCCCCATCCTCTGGAACTCTCTACCCCAATTTATCAGACTATTGCCTACTCTGCTCACTTACTCTGCTCACTTTTAGGCGATCTCTGAAAACCTCTCTTTCAGGGAAGCCTATCCTGCCCTCCCTAATAATGGAATCTTCTACTCTTCTACCCTACCAGTCCATCCCCCACAGTTACTACCTTTTGTACCACTAGCCCCTCCCTCCTAGATTGTAAGCTCCAAAGAGCAGGGCCCTCCTATCCCTCTTGTATTTAAACTTGTATTGTTGCTGTATTGTCTCCCGTTATATTGTAAACCGCTGAGCAAACTGTTGGCGCCATAAATCCTGTATAATAATAATATAATGAGAGATGAAATGTGGAAAGGAGGCATTGATAATGGGAGAGGAGATGGAACATGTAATGGGAGGAGTGGACAAGGTGGGCTTAGCTGGAGACCTCAAGCCTGGCTGATGATGTATCAATAGTCAAGAAGAACCTGGAATGGACTCTCCCACTGAGGCTTCAGAGACTTGGTAAGATGACAATAGACCCCATCCTAGTCTCTGGTACTGAGGCAGTGTTGGTCATGTATTACCTCAGGATCCAGAAATGAAGAAAATGCTTGGAAAACACAACTCAGTTGGTGAATCATGAAAATGCATTACATGTTCATCAAAGCTCCATAAAAAAAAAAATAAAAAGATGAGAATCATGAGGGAAGCTGTTCAGTTATTGATGCTTATCTTAAAAAAATTGTCAAAAGGTAAAATATTCAAATCCCTTCTAGTTGTGTATTGATGGACATAAGCACTAAACTCAGTTCATCCAATCATTACATTCCAGTTTGCTCAGTTTTAGTTTGTTTCTTTTTAAGTAACATTTTATCTTTTCCCTTCTTCTCTAGCTTGTGGGATGACATTGGGGATGTGAAACAAACTTGTGACACCTGAAACTTCTTTAATATTCCTTTTCTTCCAGAATTTAATCTATGCAGAAATTTATGAATCCTCCGGTGATAGATTAGACCGACATTAACTGTAAAAGTTTTGTCACATTGAGAGCATTAAAATGGCTTCTCTCCAGTGTGAATCCTCTGGTGTGTGATAAGATGTGACTTCTGTGTAAAAGCTTTATCACATTCAGAACACTGATATGGCTTCTCTCCAGTGTGAATCCTCTCTGATGTGTGATCAAGATGATGACTTGGTGTGTGATAAGATCTGACTTCACTGTAACAGCTTTATCACATTCAGAACACTGATATGGCTTCTCTCCAGTGTGAATCCTCTGGTGTGTGATAAGATGTGACTTCTGTGTAAAAGCTTTATCACATTCAGAACACTGATATGGCTTCTCTCCAGTGTGAATCCTCTGGTGTGTGATAAGATTGACTTCTGATCACATTCAGAACTGGCTTCTCTCCAGTGTGAAAGCTTGTATCACAAGATTCAAAAGACATTCAGAACACTGATATGACTTCTCTCCAGTGTGAATCCTCTGGTGTGTAAAGATGACTTCTGTGTAAAAGCTTTATCACATTCAGAACACTGATATGACTTCTCTCCAGTGTGAATCCTCTGGTGTGTGATAAGAAAAAGCTTTATCACATTCAGAACACTGATATGACTTCTCTCCAGTGTGAATCCTCTGGTGTCTGAAAAAATTTGACTTCTTTATAAAAGCTTTATCACATTCAGAACACTGATATGACTTCTCTCCCTTGTGAACCTTCTGGTGTGTGATATATTTTTTCTCTCCATTGTAAAATCTCCAAATAAGAAGTAGTTTGAAATGACTCCTCTTATGTATACTTGGGTTGGACTTTATTGTAAAGCCATTGTCACTTCCAGAACACTGAAATTACTTTTTTCTCCTGCTGGATCAATGTGGAAGAGGATCCAAACCATGACTTTTAGAACACAGATATGACTTGTATCCCGTGTGAATCCTCCAGTGAGCTGCAATAAAGACTTTCAGTCAATTAAGACATCCATATGTCTTGTTTTCCATGTGACTCAGCTGTATTCATGAAGACCAAACATGACCCAAAACTTGGTTCATCAATCTACCTGTACAAAAAAAAAAAAAAAAATAATTCTATATAAAAAGGGCTACATAAAGTTGCTTTCTATTTTTAATGTTCATTACTAAATATATCTTATGAATAGAAAGAATATGTACAGCATTATCTACAGTATTTTTTTTTTTTTCAAATAGATTTTATTAAGAAAGTTTCTAAGTGCGCACAGTATTCCCAACATTCAGCCCAGACAATGGAGTCATACATTCTCACGTATAGGCAGTTGTGGCACTGTTACAGATCATACAGAACAATAACTTGCTTTGTCTATGGTGTCACTTTTACCTTTTATAAAAAAAAAATGAACAGAGAAAAGAAGAAACAGCCTAGAACAATTCAGCTGTACACGGCAAGTAACTCCCCCCAGTACATACAGTTGTGTTCAAAATAATAGCAGTGTGTTGAAAAAAGTGACTAAAGCTGAAAATCCTTCTAATAGCTTTTATTTCCATCCACACAAATGCATTGGGAACACGACACATTCTATTCCAAATCACAACATGAAGAAAATACATCAAATTTGTGTTGTTCCTCTAAAAAAAAAAAAAGAAAAGTGAATATTAGACGGTTCAAAAAAAAAAAAAAAAAAAAAAAAAAAAAAAAAATGCAGTGTTTGTATTCTTCTTTACAAACTCAAACATTCACTATATAAACTGAGAAATGTTTGAAGATTTTGCTTTCCTTTGAATGACTTCATGAATATTTGGTTGTAGTCGCACTGTTTCTGAGAACTGCTGTACATCTGTGTTGCATGGAGTCCCCCAACTTCTGGCCCCCAACTTCTGGTGTGATCAGGTATTCCAGCCCAGGATGATTGGACCACATTCCACAGTTCTTCTCTATTTCTTGGTTTTGCCTCAGAAACGGCATTTTTGATGTCACCCCACAAGTTTTTCTATTGGATGAAGATCCGGGGATTGGGCTGGCCACTCCATAACGTCCATCTTGTTGGTCTGGAACCAAGATGTTGCACGTTTACTGGTGTGTTTGGGGTCGTTGTCTTGTTGGAACACCCATTTCAAGGGCATTTCCTCTTCAGCATAAGGCAGCATGACCTCTTCAAGTATTCTGATGGATTCAAACTGATCCATGATCCCTGGTATGCGATAAATAGGCCCACACCGTAGTATGAGAAAAACATCCCCATATCATGATGCTTGCACCACCATGCTTCACGGTCTTCACAGTGTACTGTGGCTTGAATTCAGTGTTTGGGGGTCGTCTGACAAACTGTCTCCGCCCACTAGACCCAAAAAGAACAATCTTACTTTCATCAGTCCACAAAATGTTGCGCCATTTCTCTTTAGGCCGGTCAATGTGCTCTTTGGCAGATTGTAACCTCTTCAGCACACGTCTTTTTCCAACAGTGGGACTTTGCGGGGACTTCTTGCAGATAGCTTGGCTTCACATCGGCGTCTTCTAATTGTAACAGTCCTCACAGGGAACGTCACACCTTCTTTCATCTTCCTGGAGCTGATTGTTGGCTGAGTCCGCGCCATTTTGGCTATTCTTCTATCCATTCCAATGGTAGTTTTTTTTTCTTTCTTCCACGTCTTTCAGGTTTTGGTTGCCATTTTAAAGCATTTGCAATCATTTTAGCTGAGCAGCCGATCATTTTCTGCACTTCTTTATATGTTTTCCCTTCTCCAATCAACTTTTTAATTAAGGTACGCCGTTCTTCTGAACAATGTCTGGAACGACCCATTTTCCTCAGAATTTCAGAGAGAAATGCACTGTAACCAGCATGTCCAACATTTGCTGCCTTCCTTCCTTAAATAAGGGCAATAATTGCCACCTGTTTTTCAAAGAATGAATGACCTCACTAATAGAACTCCCACACTGCTATTATTTTGAACACGCCCCTTTCAATGAGTGATTCAATGACACAGAATCAGCAGCATGCATGTCATGACTGTTGGGTCTGTTGGATTTCTATGACTCTACTACACCTGCTAGGAAATTATTTGCCATGTAGAAATATAATTTTACCAAAAACAGTGATTGATCCGGTTAGTGATGTCTGACTGCTATTATTTTGAACACAACTGTACATAGATAGCGGACACCATTCAATGAGGCCTGTGTCTACAGGATCATTCCCCAAGTATCAGTCTCCAATGTAGTCACCATTCAGTAGGATACAACTGGCCGTTCTCCTTCTATGGGGCTAAAAGAGCTAAGATTTTAAAAGCCTATGAAGAACTAACTAAGAGAGAGCAAGGAGTATCCAGCCAGTTCTGCTAGAGAGACATACATTTCTTGGGGGAATAACAATGTTGATACGTTCGTTTTTTTTTTCATGTTGATGTGGAGATCACCTGCTCAATCCACTGGTGTCTCTGCTGGGAGTTTGAGATGATAGCCAAGATCGGGATATTTTTTATGGTCAAGCAGCCTCACTATTGCTATATGACTTGTAATAGGAGGAGGTGTAAATAATTCCTCCTCTATTGAGACCAAGAGGCACACCCGAGGAATATTGAACACCAACATTACAATACTGGTCATATCGTTCCACTTTTTGAATAATTTTGGACATCTCCAAAACGTGTATCAAATCCCCGACATCACCACTACAATTGGGGTCATAAGGGGAAATCCCTCCTGTCCTAGCTGAACAATTGAGCTGGAGTCCTGAAAGCTCTATGCAAAAGAAATGACTGAGTTTCTGTGAAGAGGACAGAGAGATGAGAGGTATGGAGGTCACAATCACCTCCCACCACTCTCTCTTATTTTCTCTGTTTCCCATTTCTTTCTATAAGTCTTCGGTAAGAGTCAAAAGACTGGAATAAATATATGAGAGATCATGCCTTTCCCACTGGTGCCATCTGAAGCCCATTAACAAGTGTGAGAGTGATGTGAAATCTGTATCTGATGGAAGTAGCAATCCGATGGATGGGATCTAATGTGTCTACTAAGTCCCACCTGGTAAGATGTTGAAGTTGGGCAGCTATAATATAAAGTCTAACATTTGGTATTGCTAGGCCTCCTTGGTCTTCACCATACTGTAGAGTAGTGAGTTTGATTCTAGCTGATGGCTTCTTCTAAATGAGCTCCCCAAACTGGAAGCCACTTACAGAAGTGGGAGCGGGTACCTGTCAATTTTGGTTACCCCCCCCCCAAAAGGTGCCAGTTGGGTCCTTAACCACTTGCCTACCAGGCACTTATACCCCCTTCCTTACCAGGCCAATTTTCAGCTTTCAGCGTTGCCACACTAAATGACAATTGCGCGGTCATGCAACATTGTACTCGTGTGAAATTTTTTCATCATTTTTGTCACACAAATAGAGCTTTCTTTTGGTGGTATTTACTCCCCGATGGCTGTTTTATTTTTAGCGCTATAAACAAAAAAAAGCAAAACATTTGAAAAAAAAAGTTCTTTGTTTCTATTATAAAATATTGCAAATTGAAGGTAATTTTTTTCTCCTTCACTGATGTGCGTTGATGAGGCGGCACTGATGGGGCACTGATAGGCAGCACTGATGGGCACTGATAGGCAGGCACTGATTACACGGATTAGAGACTAACCGTTTTTATATTTTCACGTATGCACTTTGAAACGCCAACTTGGGACGTTTATCACATCTATACTCCACCATACGCCTCAGTGCGTGTATTTATTTATGTCACTATAATTGATATGGAGATCATAGTTGGTCACTTTTATATTATCCATTGTATCTAGATACATTTCATTCATGATATTTATGATTTTACATTTTTTTTTTCATACCTTTAGCGCTGCATGTGTTTTTTATTTATTATTGATTAGAGGGTTTTGAGGTTTTTACCTTTCATGCCAGCTGCTCCATTTCTATGTTTATCCAGCGCTCATTTTATCTTGTTGGATGAGGCAGCACTGATGAGCTGGCACTGTTAGGCACTGCACTGATAGGCTGGGTACTGATGGCGGCACTGGGTGATGGGTAGATGGCACTGATGGGCACTGATGGGCACTGGCAGCACTGCTGGGCACTGACTGGTGACACTGCTGGGCAAAGGTGGGTGGCACTGCTGGGCACTTGTGGGTGGAACTGGTGGGTGGCGCTGATGGGCACCGATCCTCAGGGCACTGATGATCCCTCCTCTGACAACTGCCGGCAGTACTTTCCTTTCCTCATGCTCTGACAGGGTGAGGAAAGTGCAGTCTAGAACCGGCAATTGCATTTCCGATGACCAGCGTGTCATAGAACACAACAATCACGGAGATCGCCAGGTGTGCGCCCCCAGGGGCATGCAGGAGAGCGCATTCTGGGAGGACGTCATATGACAGCCTCCCAGAACTGGCCTGCCGCAGTGCAGTCGTCATTTGGCTACCTGCGGTCGGCAACTAGTTGAAGCAGGACTTCCCCTTTTGGGTGGAGCTCTGCTTTAACTTCAGCAAGAGATAACACAGTGCTATAGTATCAAGGGAGGAGTGAATGTAGAGACTGAAACATGTTATATACTCTATAATATCATTTCTGGTACTCTCACAGTGGGAGTATAGATTTAGTACTTCAACCTGTATGCAGATATCAGTGGCAGACGAGTGGGTGACCTGTCCGCCTCACTGAAAATTCAAACTGATAGTGTAGGTTCCCCAATTGGGAAAACCCCATAAGGGATAAAGAGCTAATGAGAGGAAAGGTGAAAAGGAAGAGAGCAATGGAGAGATAAG